CATGCGGAAGCGCTGCCACAGCGACTTGTGCGAGGTGGTCTGCAGTGAGCCCGAAGACGAAGTGGGCAAGAGAGAAGGAGCTTAGCCATAGCGATAGGTTAGTAGCGGCCATAGCCGCCATAGCTATAGATAGAGTTCAGTGTGTGAGTGTGCAGCGTATGCGTGTGGGATATCCAGGTGATCCGTGTGTGTGTTAAGCAACGACGAGTGACTGACGAACAGAGACTTGTACAGGTGCTGAGTGGCCATAGCATCTGAAGGAGTTGTATCTAAACCGTGTTCATGTTTGCCATATCTCTGAGTTTTGAGTGAGCGCTCGTCGCCGGTTTGCTGCGCAACCTGTTTACATACATGTGAAGTGTGAATGAGAGCGAGTCTGATTGCATTGGTATCGGAGATGGTACCGCTATTCCACGCGCGTCCGTCGTGTGCCGCAGGGAAAGCTGCGCGTCATAGCCGAAGTAGCCATCGGAGAAGTCCGCCATAGCGGACCCCGAGGTTGAAGAAGTCGGTGAACGACTGTCTAGGAGGACACGAACCCTCCCAAGGACCGGTACTGATCGGCGGGCTGCTCGGTGTGGCACGGTAGGCCCAAAATCCGAGCTGTGGGCTGCACAACAGGCCGTCTAAGTCTTGAGAAGGCATGCTGATCGCGTCGTCCTGTCTGCGACATTAAAGAATTCCTGAGTTACGGGGGATCTCCTTAAATGCCTCCTGATCAGCAACAGGTCTTGTAGTGACAGCCTTAGAGTAGGTCTAGGCTAGAGACCCTAGTTGACAAGATCCTGTCCGGATTCTGTAAGTCTTTAGACTGAGTCAGTAGGTTGTTTCAGTCAGGGGGTAGAGTGTGGTGAGGAGTGGAACCGTTGTCTGGTTGTGCACCTAGCACCATGGTGGACACGCATAGTGGAAAGAGCACTACCCCACAGTCCGAGGCCGAGCAGGCTCGTATCGCTGCCATACTGAGGGAGAAAAAAGAGAAGAAAGAGCTCCTCAAGCAAGCGAAATTGAAGGCTATAGCGGAGGAGCAGGCGGCAAAGAAGAGATGATGAGGTTACAGAGAGAGAAGATGTTACAGCTACAACAGGAGGAGGAAGAGAAGAGAAAGGCTGCCGAAGAAGCAGCAGCAGCAGAGGAGGAGGAAGAAGAAGAAGAAGAACCCCTTGAAAGGAGGCGTGGGTGAGATAGAGGAGAGACCAGTGGCACGAAGAGGGAAGACGCATGGATGGAGAAGAAAATTAGCGAGTGGGTAGCTAATTTATCGTTGGGAGAAGACGACGAGGCACTGCTATATGTGCCCCAGGAGGAGAGAGAAGCATTAGCCAGGATATTGGAAATGATGGAGGACCCCCTCGAGTGTCAGACAACTGAAGACGAAAAGAAGTTGGAGTGGAAGTTGTGTATGATGAGGGAGAAGAAGAGAAGGAGGGAGGAAGTCAACCGAGTGGCTAGAAAGGTGGAGAGAGTCCGGGCATGCAGACAAGAGA